CAGTGCTCAGGGATCACTCAGGCCTCTAGAATGTGGTCTCTGGTAGTCGTAAGGGGTCACTGTCCAGTATTAGTGGCTACAACAGATGCTTTATGTGTAATCTCCAGGTGACTGGGAAGACCGATGGCTCTCTCCCTCGCCGCCTGTGTTCAGTGGTCTCCGGCCACTTCCCCACCCAGGACGGCCGATGCCATGGGTGGACAAAAGAGGAAACGAGGACCAGGTTGGTTGGTGATCAGCACCTGTTCCAATCTCACTAAACAAACCAATGTTACCCTACTTTCCTAGACTAGGGTGACTACTGAAGGAAAAGGAGGAATTCAGGGGAAAAAAAGTGCAATCAGCTGTTTGAAACAACACTGTTGCATACCTGGCCAGTTCGTGGAGATAGATGTCATCATTATAACAATTTTCTTTCAAGGCTGAAGCAGTAATATGGCCAACAGGGTGCTTGCCTCACATGCAGTCTACCTAGGTTTAATCCCAACCAAAACATAGGGTACCCGAGATTATCAGGTACACAGAGCCAGGAGTCAGTCCTGAGCTCTTGACCAAAAACAAACACACACACATACACACAGACACACACACAAAAGAAAAAAATGTCATAACTGTGAGTCCAGTCAACAGGTGGACAGTTGGAAATTACAAGGATTCTTTGGAATTTACATAAGAGTACTAGTAAGAAATCACAAGAATTCCTTGGAATTTACACAATACAATAAACGAGTCGATGACATGTTAACAGGAGGAGACTGAAAATCTAACTTTTGTGGTTGGCACCTGTATTGTTTCGTGACTGCGAAAGAGTCATCAAGAAGCAGGACCAGCCTCACGCAAGGCAGGAGCACTGCCAGCTGTGATGTACTATCTCTCCAGCCCAAACACCACAAGGAGGGTGAAGGGGAGAAGAAGGAGAAAGAGGAGGGAAAGGGAGAGGAGAGGGGGAAGGGGAGGAGGGCCAGGTGCACCTGGACCACCAGGTGGGGCTTAGGACACAGAGATGCAGAATGTGAAGGGCTCTGGGCCGACTCTTCCATTCCTACAGGCCCATCCAGGAGGACCGAGGTGGACAGAGAGAACAAGGTGTCCAGGCTACCACTTTTCCCTTCCATGCTTCACACAAGCCACCAAAAACTGAATCAGTCTCCTGCCAGGCACAGCCACGAAGCCCACATGGAAGATGGAATCCACACACAGGCAGGGGGTGGCACCTGGCTCTGAAGACACACAGACACACAAGCAGAGAAGATGCCTGGCTCTGGAGATACACAACACACACACGCAGGGGAGGCGCCTGGCTCTGGGAAACTCCAGACCAGGAAAACTGAAGTGAGGAAAAACAACAGATCACAGGGTGACTGAATAGGGCACTCACACAGAGAAAGCACCTCATGTGCTCTCTCTCTCTCTCTCTCTCTCTCTCTCACACACACACACACACACGCACACACACACAAAGGACCTCTCTCCCTCTCTCACACACACACTCTCTCTCACACACACACACACACACACAGAAAGGACCTCACGCCCTCACTCTCACACACATACACAAAGGACCTCAGCCCCCCCCACAAAGGACCTCACGTTTACACTCCCACACACATATATGTAGAAAGGATCTCATGCTCACACACACACATCCATACATTGAAGGAACCTCATTCTCTCTCTCTCTCTCTCTCTCTCTCTCTCTCTCTCTCTCTCATACACACATAAAGGACCTCACACTCACACAGAAGACCTCACGTACACACACATGAGGAGACGTAGCGCCCTCCTGAGCGCTGCCACGCCAACCCACACTTCCAGCTGCTCCTCCTGCTCCCAGCAGGGCCATTGCCCACTCGTCTCCCGACTCGGAGCCTCAGCCGACCCACGCTTGGTTGGAACAGGGCTCGGGGTTCAAGGAAAGGGAAGCCACCAAGGCTTCAGCATGCTGGAGCCCTGCCACATGCCCCTGCCGCCAGACAAGGGGGCATGCTCCAGGCCCAGTGACCCCCGACCCACCTCCCACGCTGGCCCGTGGGGCTGGTGCTTCTGCTTGGCTCCAGAGGGTCTTACAGGCAGAGGGGGGACACTGGAGTGGGTCTGCGCGCATGAGTCCCACAGAAACCCACCTGAGTGGGACATGTCCAGTTACCCACTTCCGACATCACAACAAACGACTACATTCCACCCCATGCATCTCCCTGGACTCTGGCCATTGGCAGTGATCATTTTTTCACAAACACTATCCTCCCGTTGTTCATCGATTTGCTCGAGTGGGCCCAGTAACGGCTCCACTTTGAGGCTTGTTGTTACTGTGTTTGGCATATTGAATACGTTATGGGGAGCTTGCCAGGCTTTGCCGTGCGGGCGAGATACTCTCAGTAGCTTGCTGGGCTCTCTGAGAGGGACGGAGGAATCGAACCCAGCTCGGCCAGGTTGGCTGTGCGCAAGGCAAATGCCCTACCGCTGTGCTATTGCTCCAGCCCGTGATTTTTTTCAAACTTTTAAAATTTTTTATTTCTATTTTTGGGTCATACCTGGCAGTTCTCAGGACTTACTCCTGACTGTGCTCAGGAATCACTCCTGGCAGGGACCTGGGAAAGTATATGAGGTGTGGGGAATTGAACCCAGGTCAGCCAAGTGATCATTTTTTATCTGGGTCAATGACCATCTTGAAATAGCACAAAAATCTCATATTTGACAATTTAAGCAGTTTCTTTTTAATTTTTATTTTTTGCTTTTTTGGGGGAGTCACACCCAGTGATACTCAGGGGTTACTCCTGGCTCTGCACTCTGGAATCACTCCTGGCAGTGCTGGGGGACCCTCTGGGATGCCTGGTTGGCCACGTGCAAGGGAAATGCCCTCCCCGCTGTACTATAGCTCCGGCCTCATAAGCAGTCTCTTACTTGTGGGGAGGTGGCACTCCCTGCGATGCTCTGGGCTTACTCCGGCTCTGCGCTCAGGGATCACTTCTGGCAGTGTCTGAGAACCAAATGGGGTGGAATCTAACCGGGTCAGAGTTGGCTGCATGCAGGACAAGTGCCCAGCCCGATGTACCATCTCTCCAGGCCCTTGGGCAATATCTTTATATTAAATATCCCTCTAGGAGATGCTTACTCAAGAACTTTTTAGGATGTTTCTCTGCCTGAAAGACACTCTCCCCTCACCCCATCCCCCACCCCAAGCTATCTGCATTTTCTCCTGCAAGGAACTAAAACAGATCTAGATGAGTTCAATCTAATGATCTTTGTGGATATTTTTTTTTCATGACTTTCAGTCAAAACAGATTTTTTTTGGTCACACCCAGCAATGCACAGGGATTACTCCTGGCTCTGCACTCAGGAATTACTCCTGGCGGTGCTCAGAGGACGATATGGGATGCTGGGAATTGAACCCCAGTCAGCCACCGCGTGCAAGGCAAATGCCCTCCCCACTGTGCTATTGCTCCAGCCCCTCAAAACAGCTTTTATGCCCTGTAAGAAAAGAAAAGTCTATTTCATTCCCCCATCCCCCAAAGTTATTATTTTAACCTTTCTGGTTTTAAAAAAAGAAAAAGAAATTTGGCTTTTGGACCAGAGGACCTAACCCAAAGGTGTTTCTCAACTTGTGTTTATTTTTATCCACCTCAAAAGTCCTTGAAAAATATTTCCCCCAAATCATATCTTCAACCAGTTCAGTACTAAATTTTTGTTCGTTGGTTTGAGAGCCACACCCAGCTGTGCTCATGTCTTATTCCTAGTTCTGTACTCAGGGTTCACTCCTGGAGATGCTCTCAAGGGATCATACGGGGCTCTGAGGATCAAAAAGGGGTTGGTGAGATGCAGGACAAGCTCTTACCCCCTGTACTATACTCCTGTACTATATCTGGGGCTAGAGGGGTGGTGTTTTTGTTTTATTTTGTTTGTATATTTGGTTGTTTGTTTGGGGGCCACACCCAGAGGTGCTCAGGGGTTACTCCTGGCTTCTGAGCTCAGGGGTCAGTTCTGGCAGGAAGTGGGCATATGAGGTGCCATGGCTTGAACCCCGGGTTGACCACACGTAAGTTAAGCTCCCTACCCTCTGTAATTTGCTCCGGCCCTCAAGTTGCCTGTAAATTTTCTTTTATTTTTTTCTTTGTTGTTGTTGTTTTTGTGCCATATCCAACAGTGCTCAGGACTTATTCCTGGTGTTATACCTAGGGTTCACACTTTCCTTGCACACAGCCAACCCAAGTTCACTCAACCAGCTCCACAAAGGATCCACCCGCACTCCACCAGGAGTTATCCGTGAGCACAGTTCCAGGAAGAAACCCTGAGTATTGCTGCATGTGGTTGGTGCAAAGACCTACAAAAGCAAAGAAAGAGAAAGAAAACAGTTACAGCACAGCTCGAAACACTGAAGAACTGCATCTGCTGAACTGGATTACCTGCAGGTTGTGCCTCACTTGTCAACAGGCTCCATCTGGATGCACTGAGGGAACAACAGTTTTTGTCTCCTTCTGAGTACTAAGACCACATTATTTCAGGTGTACCCGCACTTCAAGCTGATGGAGGGAAGCCTGCACCTTTGGGAAGGTCAGAAAAGGGTACGGCCACTGCTATGCACCCACTTGGGTGCTGCCTCCTGGAGCTGATTTAATGCAAACCAGTGCTGTTTCCGGAATGAACATGTCGATGTCACCAATCAGAGGGTTGGTCACCCCACTCCCTTCTGGAAAGCATCGTGTCCCAAGTGACAGGCTGTTGTCCTCAAGATTGAATGTGAGCAAGGTGACAGCTGTTCACAGTTGTCATCCCTAGTGATGGAGCATCCCCTCAGGATCCCACTGTGACCAGGATGACCCCTTCAATAGTGCCCAGGAGTGACAGGACCGAGTTCGATGGGGCTTACAGCACCCCACCAGTTGGGACAGTAGCTCGCTCTGCTCTGTGGCTTCAGATGTGGGCGGTGTGTCAGCTGACTGATAGAGCTCCCCACTGCTGTGCTATTCTCCCCCGGAAAGGTGTAGGAGCTTGACTGCAGAAGCTTGAACTGTCTCCTGACAAGTCCCCTCCAGGCCTGGAGGTCTGGTCCAGCACCCTCAGAGTCCCATGGGACCGGGCAAATGCTTGTGGGTAGGTGAGTCTGTCTGGCTTCCCAATAGCTCCTCAGCACAGGCCTCAGGAGGTAGGAGACAGCCACACTCCCTGCTATATGGGGGCCTAAGCACAAACCCTAGACATGGGGGTCTGGGGGAGCAGCTTCTCAGATATGCTCTGTGCCCTCAGCTGGGCCCTGCCAGGAGGGCAGAAGTACGTGCTGACAGTCCAAATGTGAGATGCACCGGGCTGGGATGTGGTGGCAGAGGGAGAGAAGGCAAAACTGACAGGGATAGGCAGACTTTCTGTTATGAAAGAGACTTTGCTTCTTCACTGACATTGCTGAACTTTGTCAAGCCAAGGCAAGTGGGTGGTCTGGGGCTAGGAGTCTCTGTGATGGGCAAAGTGAACATGTCCAGGTTCTGCAGGTGGGAAAGCTCCCCTGCAAACCAAATCCCTGGGTATCTTAGGGTAGGGAAACCCCTTTGGAGGTGTGTGTGAGTGGAGGGTGCCGCCTCACAGAGGTGACAGCAATGGAACTCAAGGTAAGTGACCATTCTAAACTCTCTTTCCTTCTTCATCCTCAATTCGTCCGTATGCTCGCGGTGCCCAAGTAGAGATGGGTGACTCTAGCGTGGGGCAGCTCTCTGTCTTGCATGGGGACTGCTAGAGCATATGTCAGACAGAGATGCCAGGTAGCAGCTACTGGGCATGTCTCTGGACTCCTTGGGGGGGTCACAGGTTCCTCGCCTGCCCTTGGTGTGGACAGTGTTCTGTGCTCAGAACCACTGCTCTGCATCTGGGTTTTGTCCTCCCTATAGCTATACCGAGAGCTGCTGAACTTAGAGCCCCTTACAGTCCACACTCGCGCGCCCATCTGTGGCTGCACTGCCGCTGGATTCTGCACAGACACAGGTATCACTCTGCCATGGAACCTGGGTCTGTACTGAAACCTGAGCCTGTCTTCTGAGCCTGTCCGCACAAGTCTTGGTGCGGGCAGCAGCCTGGTGTGGATCAGGCTGGTCAGAGTCTTCACTGGATCAGGACACAGCCTGGTCACATGAATCCTGATGCACTGGAGCCTGTCCTGCAGTGCCCAGGAGGACCTAAGCCTGTCCGCATGGGTCTCAGTGCCCCAAAGCCTGCCCTTATATCCCCTGGGAAGTTGGCATCAGTCTGTTCCCCATCTGCCCAGTCACTCACAACTGCAACAGGAAACGGATTCTGCAGCATGAGTAGCACAGCTGCCTCTGCTTAGGGGGCGTCTTCCTGATGTTAGCAGGGTCTTTCTATATTTTTTGGTAGTGGTGGTGGAGGAATTGGGTCATATCCACAGTGCTTAATCCTAGCTCTGTGTTCAAGAATCATGGCTGGCAGTGCTCAGGGGATCCTATGAGGATTGGTCAAGTGCAAGGCCCTGTATGATCTTTCAGGCACAGGGTATTCCTCTATGCTCATTTCTGGTCTGCTGGGGTACGAGATGGACTTGAAGTGGAGTCTCCTTGCAGGAGAGGTGCAGACTGGTGCCTTACGTGCTGTGGTCTGTATGTACATGCTGCACTTTCATCTCCTTATCATCCATCAGGCTTACATAACCAGGCTAGTCCTTCGTGCTGAATAGATATCAGAGCACCATCTTCAACTGTAAACGGGGGGGACAGGATGTCAGCTGCCTCCCTGCACCAAGGTACCTCCTAGCACCCATCCCTGGTCTGCAGCTCACCTCTGGCTCCCTCAAGCGTCCTGAGACTGGGGCTGACAGGCCAGCAGGAAGTCTTGCCCCCAAGGATGTTCTCAGGGTTCCTTGCCAGAGTGAGGAGATACATAGCAGAAGCTGGTTTGGGGCAGTCATACCCTGCAGTACTTAGTGCTACTACACTAAGGTTTAGTTCGGCTCCCAGTGCTCAGGGAACTGTGTGGTGCAGGGAGTCGAACCCAGAGTTTCACACATACATGGCAACTGCTCTGCCACTGAACTATATCCCAGACCCATAGATTGGGTAGGCTCAAGAATTTATTTTGGGGGCTGGGTAGATAGTACATGGGAAAGGCACTTGCCTTACATGTGGCTGACCCAGTTCAATTCCCAGCATTGCATAGGATCCACCATGATGTCTCGTCACCAGAAGTGATCCCTGAGCAGAGCCAGGAAGAAACCCTGAGTACTGTCAGATGTCAGTGACAGGACACTGATGAGAGCACTCCCCTTGTCAGTGCTCAGCTCCTGTGCCTGTGGGAAACTTGCCACAGTTATTGTGGAATTTAAGGAGAAAATTTGGTTTACACAGTTGTCTAACAGAGAGGATGGAGGACGGCCAGTGGAGCACTTGTCTTTCAAGTGGCTGACCCGGGTTCAATCCCTAGCACCTCATAGGGTCCCCCCAAGCCCAGCCAGGAGTGATCCCTGAACACAGAGCCAGGAGTAAGTCCTGAGAACCATTGGGGGTGACCCAAAAAGCAAACAACAACAACAACAAAAGCACAACTGTCCAGCAGAAATAAAGAAAGTATTTTTACTTGTGGTTGTGGATGATGTGTGGGCTGGAGCGATAGCACAGCGGGTAGGGCATTTGCCTTGCAAGCGGCCAACATGGCTGACCCGAGTTCGATTCCTCCGCCCCTCTCGGAGAGCCCGGCAAGCTACCAAGAGTATCTCGCCCACATGGCAAAGCCTGGCAAGCTCCCCGTGATGTACTCGATATGCCAAACAGAGTAACAAGTGTCACAATAGGGAGTTACTGGGCCCACTCGAGCAAATCGATGAACAACGGGAGGACAGTGACAGTGACAGTGGGTGATGTGTAAAACTAAGCCCCGATTCCAGGGACAGGAGCTGGGCTGACACACAGTGCAGGTTCCAAAGTGGGCTTACAGGCAGAACCAAGGCTGTGACTGACTGGGGTCCAGACCCACTGTGAGGAGACACTTTGGGGGGTGCCACCAAGTGCTCAGTAGCTGCGAGTCCAGTTAGGTCATGGAACCTTTCTGAGCTCCCATTTGTGGTGGGTGTGGACCAGACAACACTCTTCCAACAAGACACAGAAGGGTGTGGGTGTGACCACTCAGAGTGAGGAGTACTGGAGAGCCCCTGGCAGGGGAGGTCTCAAAGAGTCATCCTGGGGTTCTATGCCCTCACAGAATCCTGCAAAGGCTGGACCCCCGAGAGCCAGGGCCGGAGCAAGATGACTACCTGGCTCCTGATCTTCACCTTCATGGGCTCCTGGACTGGTGCCCACATCTCTGTTGAAGGTGAGGCGGGCGGAACCAGGGCCGGAAGCAAGGCTGTCATCTGTCAAACTCCACAGGGAAAAGTCTGGGCTCGACAGTGCACAGTCAGCACTGCACATCATGGGTCAGATGAACACTTCTGAGCTTCACAGCTCCTGGGAGGGCTACCCTGTCAAAGTGTCTGTGGCTAGATCCTCTCCCACCCCCGCCCCTCCACCTGTCATTGTTTCCAGGGTCAAGCCCCGGAGCCTTCAGCTGCTTCAACAACAACATCCTCAGGATAGACTGCTGGTGGGCTGCTCCTGACTGGGCTCAGAAATCTGACCCCTGGCTCCTCTTTACCAAGTGAGGATGGACAGCAAGTCCCACTCAGCAAGGGGCAGGGTGAGGGAGCCCTTCCCGTGGGCTGGAGGGTGCAGCGGCCCATTGCCATGTGCCCGTGCCGTTCACAGCAACCACAAGCCAGCCAGTCAGCACCGATGCACTTTCCAGGCCGGCGTCTGCACAGTGGAGTTGCCACCTGAGGAGGTGCTCGTGCCTTCTGACAACTTCACCATCACTCTCCACCACCATGTGTCCGGGAAAGAGCAGGTGACTCTCCTGTTTCCACAGTATCTGCCCCGGAAATACGGTGAGGCCTGAACTAGCTTCTTTTTTTTTTTGGATATTTGGGTGGGGGAGACAGGAGACACACCCAGCAGTATGGGATGCCAGGGATCAAATCCGGGTCCTTCCACATGCAAGGCAAATGCCCTACCCACTATACTATCATTGTAGCCCCACGTCTTGGCAGGAGATTTCTTGCTGTATGGCGGCACCCCAGGGCCCTGCCAAGTTAGTTGCAGTGGGGAGCAAGCTGGACCTTTGTAGAAAAAGGTCACCTGGAACTGGACAGTGGTGTCAAGGATAGTGAAGCTTTGGGTTGGTGCCCTTTCAGCCTGGCAGGAGGGACTCTGGTGAGGTGGGGAGCTGAGCACGAGGGGAAAGAGACTGGAAAGAGGAAGGAGAGAGCACTGCCATCCTGTCCTACCTGAGGCTTAGCTGGACCAATGTCATACTTTGACCTTGTCATACTGGGAATGTCTCCTATACCCAGTCGTGGGGTGTCAACAAGTATATCCACACGTGCCCTCATTCTGTTCCAGTGAAGCTGGACCCTCCCTCCGACCTGCAGAGTAATGTCAGCTCTGACCACTGTGTCCTGACCTGGGCTATCAATCCTGCCTTGGAGCCACTGAGTCCCCTCCTCAGCTATGAGCTGGCCTTCAAGAGGAAGGAAGAAGCCTGGGAGGTAACAGTGGCTCTCCTTAGGAGCAGCTGCCTTGAGCAGCTCCTCAGGTTGGCACAAGAGGTGTGTGCACACCCGTGTGTGTCTGATGTTGGGAGTCTGTGGGAGCCCAGAATATGGTAAACATGCCATGTATGTTTCAGTGTGTGCGTGAGTGTGCAAAAAACATCAATGAGTATAGCAAGCATGAGTGTACCCTGTTACTTAAGCGTGAGTGTGCTGAAGCTTGTGTGTTCCGATGCATCAGCTGCATATAAGGAAGTGTGCTCACTCTGGACATCTGGACATAGAAAGGTTTCCACCTCTGACTGTTCAACCTGCTAACTGCTCCCAACCTCACAGCAGGCCAGGCAGAAGGATCGCATTGTTGGAGTCTCCTGGCTCATCCTTGAGGCGATTGAGCTGAAACCTGGTTCTACCTATGAGGCCAGGCTGCGTGTCCAGATGGAGGCTGAGATGGAAGAAGAAGAGCACTATGAGGGCCAGTGGAGTGAATGGAGCCAGCCCGTGTGCTTCCCCTCTCCCCAGAGGCCAGGTATGCTGCCTTGAAGCTACCCTTTGGGACTCCGGGCTGGATCTCCCCATTCAGGCCCTCCCTGAGGTCTGTCCGGTTGAAACAAGTCCCTGCCAAGTTCCTGGTTTCTCTGGCTGGAGCCAGAGGTTATTATCAGGCATGACTGTGGCCCACAGCTCAGCCTCAAGCTGGTGTGCCTGTTTCGGAGTCTGATCACACCTCCTTAAGGACCCTCTTCCTTCCTGAATCCTCTTAGGTACAGCTGGGCCATGCTGACATAGGTACTGGAAAGGTTTGCTGATCCTCACAGGCATAGGGTGAGGAAGACTGGCCCAAGGCCTTCAGCACTCACAGGACTCCAAGGACCACTGCCTTTGCACTCTGGTCAGAACTCTCAGCAAGGCGCCTTGCCAAAGGGGTTGAAAGAACAGGCTGGTGCTGCTGTTACAGTGCTCCACCCTATGCCCACAGGTTCCCTGACACCACCTTTGGGCCAGCCCAACAGCATCCTTGTCTCTGTGTCCATCTTGTTCCTGCTCACCAGCCTGACTTACTTTCTATTTAAGCTGACACCCAGGTCAGTAACCAAGGGGCAGAGTGAATGAGAATATGTGTGTATGCAAGTGTGTGTGCACATTCAGGAAACAGTGGGTGGATGTGTGTGAATGGACGTACATGAATGAGTGAACTGGATGAATGTATGTTTGAGAATGTCTGTATGTGTGTGTTTGTGCCCAAGTGTCACCAAGGAGCCAGTGTTTGAGGAATCGGGCCCCATAGGAGGGCCCAGAACTTAAACTGGGCTTGTTGGGTCAGAGCCTTCTTGGGCAGAATGCAGGGAACAGCTGCTAGTCTGCTAATGATGCCACCGGAACTCCTGGAGGTGCTGGCTCAGCCTACGAGTTGAAGATAGAGTGAGTCACCCCCATGGCTAAGACCATGACTTGCCCTAGAGAGGACGGTGCCTTGGCATTCATCACTTCTGTGGATCAATGTCCAGGCAGGCCACCTCACTAGGTGATGCCCAGGGAGAGGGTATGGAGCCGGGAAGGGAAGATCACCTCCTTGTTGAAGGATGCTAGGTTCCTGCTGAGACCCAGGCTTCCTGGCGTTGGAAGTACACAACCTGCTCCCCAGAGGTCCCTCCTGATCTTTTCCTGGTCTCAGGGTGAAGAGAACCTTCTGCCAGCATGTGCCTTCTCCAGCAGCATTCTTCCAACCTCTCTACAGTGTGCACAATGGCAACTTCCAGGTAAGCTGAGGCTCTGCAGGGGGCAGGGCAGAGAGAGGGTGAGCGGGAGCTTTGGGTGAGGGGCAGGGGCAGGCATGGGCACCTCTGTTGGTGCTCACAGGAGTTTTGTGCCCACTGACTGTCTGTGTGGAGGGTCTCTGTCCCCTGTGCTATCTGTGTGGGCCTCACTGGCCCCTGGGTGGATGTGCCACTTGCCCTGGGCATGGCCTGGGCAGTTTGCTGGTGACATGGCCCATGAGACACTGTGCTGCTCAGGGGGCTCCCTCCTGCTGGGCTTTTAGGCAGGAGGCAGCGGATGTTCCTGTAAGGAGCTGTGACTTCCCCCTCTCAGCCTCTAACAAGCAAAGGAGGGAAGTCCTGCTTTGGGGGTCCACCCATCTTTCTCCCCACAGCCCCCCACATCCAGTATTGCTGGGCTCCCCTCTGTCCAGCCCTTTTACACTTCTGTGGGGTAGGAGAGCTCTCAGGTTTGTGGCTCAGAATCAGAACATAAAGCTGTAAGCTGAGCACTTTGTTGGAGTTTGATCCCCTTGCTCCCCAGGCCATCCCAGGGACTGACAGCAGAGGCTGCAGGACAGCACTGTCACTGTTCTGGCACACCTCCTCAAATCCCTAGGAGGAAGTGGTCAGTGATGGGAGCTGCTGTGCTCCCTGCATGTGCGTGTGGTCCCACCCAGGGCACAGGGTCCTGCAGTCCTCTGCAGGGTCCAGCATCAGATCCACACTGATTCCAGTCTATGTCTGGGCACATACATGCACACACATGTATCAACACATGCACATCAGCTCACACGCATATACACCTGCTCGTCTGTGTACATATACTGCATCATGCATGCGTGTGTGCGTAGACGTACTTGTGTGTATGTACACACGGCAAGCATCTGAAGACATATATACACAAGCATAAGGGGTGTCAGAGTGAGTATGTGGTCTGGGTTGCTTCTGAAAGGACCTACTGCAGCATCTGGTCTTTCCTGGCCTTGGCCCATCACTTCTGCAAGGACCACAGGGAGCCCTGGAAAGGTTGAGGGACACCATACTCAGGGCACGGGGCTGCAGCACCTCTGTGCTAGAATGCCAGGGCTTCCTGGAGGGTGAGTCCTGGGCATGTTGCCTCAGACAATCGTCCTCTCTCTGCTGTGTTCTAGACCTGGATGGGAGCCCACAAAGCTGCCCTGAAGCCCAAGGAGGCCTCTGCCAGCATCTCATCAGGAGCCTCTGAGTCCAACACCCTGGAGGCTATTGCAGTACTCACATGGGACCCAGCAACATCCTGGAGAACACTGGGAGTAGAGGCAAGCAGAGATGCTGGCCTCCCAGAGGAGGCACCGCTGGCAGCACACACAGGGACAGGTCCTCCTCTGGCATACCTGCCTCAGGAAGACTGGGTTCCTGCCAGTCCCACCAGTCCAGCTTGTGAGGAGACAGGAGCCAGCAGCAGTGACTACTGTGCCCTAAGCGGTTATAGTAGGGGCTACCCTGCAGGTCCCCCAGGCATGTGGCAGAGCTCTGTGCCCATCCTTGCCAGGGCCTGGGGCCTTCCCTGCAACCAGTCAAGCTGGGATGCCCAGCAGGGATGCCCCTGTGTGGGAGCTGGTCACGACCTGATGCGAGACCCTGGGAACCTCCACGAGGAGGGCAGAGACATTTTCCTGCACCTCTTGGCAGACTGCACACTTTGCCATACTGAAAGCTCAGAAGTGCTGAGCTCTGGACAAAGAACGACAAGTTCTAGAGCTGACCCCTGACTGGACAGGACCTCCTGCCAAGGACACCCACAAAGTGGACACGTGCTCTTCTGGACAAAGGCCAGAGCCCTGAGCTCTGAGTCTGCACTGTGGCCTGGGAAGTTTTGGAGCATGGTGACAGACACTGGTGCAGAGAAGACCTGACCTTGCAAAGTGGCCCAGAAGCAATGCCTGGAAAGAGGGAGTGTCTGGGCAAAGTTGGCAAGAACAGGGCGTCAGCCAGCGCCGGGTGTTAGGCCTTGAGCCTCATTTGACCTCCTAGTCACATGAGCCATAGACACAGAAACTGTCACGTGTGGGTAGCAAGTCATCCTAACTGCTGCATCTAGCCTTGATTGGGATTGGTCGGGGGCAAAGCAGAGTTGGAGAGGTGAGAGGCCAATAGTGCAAAACTTTCTGTGACTGGACCATCCTCTTAAGCCGAGACCCCCTATAAAATATGTGTGTATTTGGAAATAAAGTGAACAGCCAACAGCTGCTCCTGGAGGGTGTTTCTCCACGCGTCCGTTATCCTTCGCCCTACATCCGCCCAGACCCGGTGCGTAATGTGTCCGGGCGTCATTGGGGGGAAAGCTGTTCCCCAACAGGAAGGACTGTCCCCTCTGCCATTCCTAGTCCACAGAGAGCAAGAGCACACCACAAGTTACAGCAGACCTTTGTTTTCTGGGTGCTGGAGAGTAGAAGCAAGCACTGATCTGTCCCTGCCTCTGGCAGAGATCTCCCCTTCCCTGCTGGCCACGGCATTTGGGCTTCACAGGTACCCTGTCACTCTTGCTGGGACCACACAGAAGACCCTGCCCCACCCCCGACCTCCCCTGGCTGCTGGGACAGGGACTAGTACAAGCCTTCATGGTGAGGTTTGGAAAGTGGAAGGATAGAGGGAAGTCTGTAACTGGACTGCGGAGTGTCAAAGAAGCATGCTGACTGTTCTAAATCCAAGGCAAGAATAACTGCCCAACTGTCTTTTTCGTTTTGGTTTTTGGGCCACACTCAGCATGGCTCGGGGCTAACTCCTGGCTCAGACCGCAGAGATCACTCCTGCGGCCTCAACCCTGCGGGATGCCAGGAATCAAACCCAGGTGGGTCATGTACAAGGCAAGCACCCTGCCCACTGTCCTTTCCCTCCAGTTCCTGCCCAACTGTCTCATCTCCCTAAAACAGAAAGTTTCCTCCCAGTTTGGGGAAGACACAACCTCAATACACAGACTAGGTTTGACAGTCTGTTTTCATATGTAAATAAATCCACCAGAATTCCTGTTCAAATCGCAGTCACCCTTGTTGTTTTGGGGCCATACCCAACACTGTCGCGCATGGGGTGGGGCGGGGGGATCATGCAATGCAGGGATTGCTGGGTGCCCATGCATGCAGAGCACATGCTCCAACCCCTTTGACCCATCCTCATTCTTTTTTGTTTTGGGGCCACACCCAGCAGGGCTCAGGGGGTTACTCCTGGCTCTGTGCTCAGGAATCACTCATGGTAGACTCAAGGGACCATATGGGATGCTAGTAATCGATCTTGCGTTGACCACATGTAAGGCAAGTGTTTAATTACCCGCTGTATAATTGCTCCATCTCCTTCTTCATTCCTTCACTGAAAAACGTATTGCCCTCTTTCTAAACACTGTATGACTCCTTCAATCAGTCAGTTCCATACTCTATGTACAGGGTACAGCCTACATATAATCAACCATGTTTTCTCTTGCTAATCTTTTGGTGTATATGGGGAATGTGGTATAGGGCAGAAAATCCAGGGCCCTACCCACTGAGCTGTCTCCTTAACCCTTGCTAACATCTGCTTATTAGGACAGCCAAAGAACCAAAGGGTTGGACAAGGAGGAAACGTTCCTTGTCCCCTTCCCCCATTTCCCCCATCATCAAGTCCCAGGCTTCAAAAGGCAAAGACTGAAGCTGGAGCAATAACACAGCGGGTAGGGCGTTTGCCTTGCACGAACTGACCCAGGTTCGATTTTTAGCATCCCATATGGTCCCCTGAGCACCGCCAGGAGTGATTCCTGAGTGCATGAACCAGGAGTAGCTCCTGTGCATCGCTGGGTGTGACAAAAAAAAAAAAAAAGGCAAAGACTGACTCTGACAGATGGTCATCCTTCCCCTCTGCGTGCATGTGGCAGTCCTAAGGTTTTATGGGGAGCCTCAGCTGAGCCGGATGCTGGTCAATGAGGTGAGGCAACCCCAGAATGTATCTTTAGTGTCCAAAGAGCACGGGTGTGGACGGAAGGGAGGTGCAAATACCCTCAACTCTAACCAAGTTAAAAATACTGGCATGAATTCACTTCCTGGGGAGCCTCGGGTAAATATTTATAGTGGCCCTGTGTGGTTCCTGTGGTTGAGGGACCTCGGCCACCTGCACAGAGGTGACTGCCAGCCGAGACAGCTCTCCTACTGAGCAGGAACGTCGCTCATCTGACCTGTCCACTATCTCCAGGTGGCACCTAGAGACCTGACCAGGCTGGAGCCTGAGTGGGAGATTCTTAGTGGCTGTGGCTATCGGTGAGTCCCGCCTGCCCGCTCCAGAGTTATCCATGCCCTGAGTACTCCTGACCCTCGTGTTGGCAGAGCAGGGTCCAAAGACCTTGTGAACCAGATGGGGCAAGTGTTAAGATCCAGGCACCAAGGAAGGACTCAAAAGCTGGCCCATACTGGAACTAGGAAATTGTTGCTGTCCAAAATTTGGCTCCTGGGCAGGGGGTGGGGGTGTACTCAGCAGCAGGACGCTTGCCTTGTGGCCTGTGAGTCCCTAGGTTCAAACTTCACTAAAAAAGAAAAAGGATTTTTGTATTGTTTGAACCACACCCTGCAGTGTTCAGGACTTACTCCTGGCTCTATACTCGGGGATCACTCCTAGAGGGGTTTGGGGAAACCTATGGGGTGCTGAGGATCTACCTGGGCCAGCAGCATGCAAGACAAGTGCACTACATGCTGTACTATCTCTCAGATACCCCTCAAAATTCTTTTCTGGGGGGTGGAGGGTTAGGCTACACATGGTGGAGCTGAGGGCTTACTCCTGACTTGCTCAGGGATCACTCCTGGCAGGTTTGAGGGACCATCTGTGGTGGTGGGGATTGAACCTGGGTCAGCTGGGTGGAAGGCAAAAGCCCTACCCACTGTACTATTGTTCCAGTTCCAGAAAAAAAAAAAAGATTTTAAAAAGTGGCTTCGTAGACGATAAACAGCTTCTGGACTGTTCAGGGCCTTGAGGGAGGCTGTGGGATGTCTGTTTTGTTTTTTTTTTTAGTGAAACACCATGAGGTACAGTTGTAGATTTACAATTTTTTGTGCTTGGGTTTCGATTATACAATGATCAGATACCCATCCCTCCACCAGTGCCCATTTTCCACCACCATGGATAATATCCCCCCACCCCCATCCCCCTATTCCCCCCCTGCCTCTGTGGCAGGGCAATCCCCTGTGTTCTCTCTCTCCTTTTGGGTGTTGTGGTCTGCAAAAGAGGCATTGAGTGGCAAACATGTTCAGTCCATAGTCTACTTTCGACATGCATCTCCCCTCCTGGGAGGATCCTCCAAACACCCTTTATTTGGTGCTCCTTTCTCTATCTGAGCTGCCCTTTCCCCTAGAATGCCCGGCTGGCCTCTAAGCTATGGAGTAATCCTCCTGGTACTGATCTCAGCTATTCTTGGGTATTAATCTCATATTTTGTTACTTTATATCCCCCAGATGAATGCAATCTTTCTATGTCTATCCCTCTCTTTCTGGGATGTCTGTATTTCAATGCGGTAAAATTCACACAATATAAAACAAACTGTCTAAAAGGTAACACTCAGTGACAAATACTGTACAATCATGGGCTCTCTCTAGTTCAAAAACATTTGCACATTCCAAAAGGGTATCCCCTACCCCAAAACGGCGATTCCCCATTCTAGCCCCCTTCTGACCCACTGCAACACAAACCTACTTGCTGCCTCTACGCATCTATATTTTGTGGCTATTCCCACAGACATCACGTGGAATCTTTTGTGTTCCGCTTCTTTTTCTTACTGCTAAGATTTCCAAGTTTCAACATTTTACTGAAATAAAACATTTACCACTCATCCATCAAAGTGTGAATATCCAAGAAATATAAGGCACCAGCAGAACTCTACAAGATAAAAACATCTAACCTTATCAAAAAATGGGGAGAAGAGATGTTCAGGAACTTTTCCGAAGAAGAAATACAACTGGCAGACACACAAAAGAACCTCAGAATCAACCAGCTCGCTGCAGAGGTCTCCGGACTTTGCAAGAGGTCGATTTCACGAGGCTACTCCAGACGAGAGCAGGTGCTTTCCTTCCGCCTGCCTCCCTAGGAATCCTGGTGGCTGCCATCTTCCAGAACTCAGTGAGAAGCCCAGGTACACCGGAGCAGTAATAGCAAACATTAGGCCTCACAGGAAGGGGGATGGACCAGCCCTTCTTATCCCTCCAGCCCATGGGACCTTGAGATGATGCCCACGAACTGCTTCCAGCTACTACTTAAGCTCCTTAACAGCTGTGATCCAGAGACACACAAAAGAATCTCAGAACTGGGGCTGTAGCGATAGCGCAGCGGGTAGGGCGTTTGCCTTCTACGCGGCCGACCCGCATTCAATTCCCAGCATCCCATATGGTCCCCTGAGCACCGCCAGGAATATCTCCTGAGTGCAGAGCCAGGAGTAACCCCTGTTTATCACCGGGTGTGACCCAAAAACCAAAAAGAAGGAAAAAAAAAGAATTTCTAAACTGAGCAGCTCACTGCAGAGATCTCTCCAGGCCCTAATTATCTAAAATTTTGTTATTCCAGGAATGTGTAACTGCAAGAGTGGCTGTGTGACATCTTATGCTATTCTTAACAAGCAATACAAAATAAATTGTATAGCGCTGCCTTTTTGGCAGCTTTGAGTGGTGATGGGAAAATTCCAAATAATAATGGTGGGGCTGGTGTCGAAATACTGAATGTAATCAAAGTAGAGAGAATTATGGGAATTGTCTGCCACACAGGCAGGGGAAGGGTTGGGATGGAGGCAGGGGGATACTGGGGATTCTGGTGGTGGATAATAT